GGCCGCGGTCACGTGTGACACGGGACGGGCGTGACACGTGACGTGACTGACACGTGACACGCGTGTACATGTGTCGTGGAACACGTGACATACATGTGCATGTGTCATGGGACACGTGACATGTATGTACATATGTACGTGTGTCATGGGACACGTGACACGTGTGTACATGACACAAGGAACACCTGACACACGTGTACATGTCATGGAACATGTAACACGCGTGTACACGGCACGTGGAGCACGTGACACGCGTGTCCATGTGGAATGGAGCACGTGACACGTATGTACATGTGTCAGAGATCACGTGACACGCGTGTCCATGTGAAATGGAGCACGTGACACGTATGTACATGTGTCAGAGATCACGTGACACGCGTGTCCATGTGAAATGGAGCACGTGACACGTATGTACATGTGTCAGAGATCACGTGACACGCGTGTCCATGTGAAATGGAGCACGTGACACGTATGTACATGTGTCAGAGATCACGTGACACGCGTGTCCATGTGAAATGGAGCACGTGACACGTATGTACATGTGTCAGAGATCACGTGACACGCGTGTCCATGTGAAATGGAGCACGTGACACGTATGTACATGTGTCAGAGATCACGTGACACGCGTGTCCATGTGAAATGGAGCACGTGACACGTATGTACATGTGTCAGAGATCACGTGACACGCGTGTCCATGTGAAATGGAGCACGTGACACGTATGTACATGTGTCAGAGATCACGTGACACGCGTGTCCATGTGAAATGGAGCACGTGACACGTATGTACATGTGTCAGAGATCACGTGACACGCGTGTCCATGTGAAATGGAGCACGTGACACGTATGTACATGTGTCAGAGATCACGTGACACGCGTGTCCATGTGAAATGGAGCACGTGACACGTATGTACATGTGTCAGAGATCACGTGACACGCGTGTCCATGTGAAATGGAGCACGTGACACGTATGTACATGTGTCAGAGATCACGTGACACGCGTGTCCATGTGAAATGGAGCACGTGACACGTATGTACATGTGTCAGAGATCACGTGACACGCGTGTCCATGTGAAATGGAGCACGTGACACGTATGTACATGTGTCAGAGATCACGTGACACGCGTGTCCATGTGAAATGGAGCACGTGACACGTATGTACATGTGTCAGAGATCACGTGACACGCGTGTCCATGTGAAATGGAGCACGTGACACGTATGTACATGTGTCAGAGATCACGTGACACGCGTGTCCATGTGAAATGGAGCACGTGACACGTATGTACATGTGTCAGAGATCACGTGACACGCGTGTCCATGTGAAATGGAGCACGTGACACGTATGTACATGTGTCAGAGATCACGTGACACGCGTGTCCATGTGAAATGGAGCACGTGACACGTATGTACATGTGTCAGAGATCACGTGACACGCGTGTCCATGTGAAATGGAGCACGTGACACGTATGTACATGTGTCAGAGATCACGTGACACGCGTGTCCATGTGAAATGGAGCACGTGACACGTATGTACATGTGTCAGAGATCACGTGACACGCGTGTCCATGTGAAATGGAGCACGTGACACGTATGTACATGTGTCAGAGATCACGTGACACGCGTGTCCATGTGAAATGGAGCACGTGACACGTATGTACATGTGTCAGAGATCACGTGACACGCGTGTCCATGTGAAATGGAGCACGTGACACGTATGTACATGTGTCAGAGATCACGTGACACGCGTGTCCATGTGAAATGGAGCACGTGACACGTATGTACATGTGTCAGAGATCACGTGACACGCGTGTCCATGTGAAATGGAGCACGTGACACGTATGTACATGTGTCAGAGATCACGTGACACGCGTGTCCATGTGAAATGGAGCACGTGACACGTATGTACATGTGTCAGAGATCACGTGACACGCGTGTCCATGTGAAATGGAGCACGTGACACGTATGTACATGTGTCAGAGATCACGTGACACGCGTGTCCATGTGAAATGGAGCACGTGACACGTATGTACATGTGTCAGAGATCACGTGACACGCGTGTCCATGTGAAATGGAGCACGTGACACGTATGTACATGTGTCAGAGATCACGTGACACGCGTGT